GGAAGACAAAAACATAAAAATAAAACATTGCTGAGACATTATGATAACAGGCCTGAGCTCATGTCAGTTTGGGGTTTGGACTTCTTTGCTTAGTCTGCAAGCTCCAAAGTGGAGAAATTAGCATAAAGTTGAGGGTGCCTGGCAGAAGCAAACACGAAACTGCTCTGAGGGAACTCACTTCAATTTAAGCCATGTAGCAATCTCTAGGATAAAGCCATGCTAAAGATGAGCACCTGATCTCACGTTACCAAATATATGAGGACACAGTCCCTCATAAGCAAGAGTCAATAGACACCATCAGCAGCATGATTTGACTCTTATGAACTTGAGAAGATGGAACATTCAGATAAAAACTATAAATATTTTAGAATGATTAACATTAAAAAAAGTAAAAATGTAAAGATGGTACCACAGCAGGAAGAGTTGAAAATAAATTTAAAAGCATTTATAGAAGTGAAAAATATGTAATTTAAGTTCAAAAATCAGTGGAAGGGTTAAACAGTCAACTAGATACAGTTAAAGAGAGAAGTATTGAACTGAAAGAGCTAAAAAAATTACCCAGAAGTATAGTACAGAAAAATAAAATTATAGATGTAAAAGAGATTCAGAATGAAGAAATGCAACATATGACTAATAGGAGTTCCAGTAGGAGCAATAGTGAATATGAGGAAGATGCAGTATTTGAAAGAAATTGCTGAGAATTAGCCAGAATTGATGAAGGGCATGAGTTCTGTCATATTTACTAAGCCTGAATCTACTCAAATAGAATAAATAAAACATATATCTGCAGCTAGACACCACAACACCAAAATGGAAAATGTGAAGATCTGGAAAAAAAAAAGATAATGGCTACATGAATGTCATTGTATTATTCACTGCAGTATTCTTGAAATATTTTATAATAAAAGAGAAAAATTAGCAATGATTTGAGAAAATATTAGTTAAAAGATGGGGCTTCCAGAGTGACTAAGTGAGGAGCTCATCAAATCCTTTCCTTAAGAAGCAATGATAAACTGTACAGAATGGCCATAAACAATCACTTCAGGAAATTGACCAAAGGCGTACATCAAATTGAGAACCATTTATTCAAGAAAAACTACAATAAACACAGTAAGATTTCATGGCATTTTAGCCACTTGGTTGCGCCCATCTTCCCCTCTCCAGCTTTGTCCCACAATGGTGAGGAGGTTTGTGAGGACTGGGAGCTTTGCCCTTGCGGGGGGGCCTGATTCAGTTTGGAGCACAGCTTGGAAAACCTTTGGCCAAACCCTTGCCCATGGACATTGTTTAAAACAATAGCAATCTAGTGGCAAACATTCAAGGAAAGCCAACATTACAGCCTGAGGTCATGACACTGGTTAGCCCAAGCTGCAGACTGGCAAGCCAGCCAAGAGAGAGATGGAAACAAGATAGCCACCATGGGCTTTGGAAAGTTTTCACACCTCACTGGTGGTCTGGAAAGCCGCCCACTTGCACAAGCCTGTATACATGCTCAGGAGAGATTGTAGAGAGTCGTAGGTATCTAGTCAACCCCTGGCCGAATATGAGGCCCCAAGCATATAGAAAGTAAAAATGGATAACTTGTAAACTCCCTGAATTTTCAGTATATTTCCCAACCACACAGAAATCCACTGGCAAGGGACAGAAGCCTTACTGGCTCAAGATGTTTAATTAAGCATAACCTATGACCATTCATAGGCTGACTGCTGTTAACTATGTTGAGCCAAGGTGACCCCCCTAACCCTTCATGTTCTTTTATTTTTTATTTTTTATTAAGGTATGATTGATATACACTCTTATGAAGGTTTTGCATGAAAAAACAATGTGGTTACCACATTCACCCACATCATCAAGTCCCCACCCATACCCCAATGCAGCCACCGTCCATCAGTGCAGCAAGTTGCCAGAGATCCACTATGTCCCTTCTCTGTGATACACTGTTCTCCCTGTGATTCCCCACACCATGTGTACTAAACATAATACCCCTCAGTCCCCTTCTCCCTCCCTCCCCACCCACCCTCCCACACCCCTCCCCTTTGGTAACCACTAGTTCATTCTTGGAGTCTGTGAGTCTGCTGCCATTTTGTTCGTTCAGTTTTGTATCATTGTTGTACTCCACAAATGAGGGAAACCATTTGGTACTTGTCTTTCTCCACCTGGCTTATTTCACTGAGCATAATGTCCTCCAGCTCCATCCATGTTGTACCCTTCATGTTCTTGAGTTAGGCAAATCATTCTTAGATATGATACAAAAGCATGATCCATAAAACAAATTGGACTTCATCAAGATTAAAGTTTTGGCACTACAAAAGACACCATTATGAAGATGAACATATTAGCCTCAGACTGGGAGAAAACATTTGCAAATCATATATGATAAAGGACCTATATCCAGAATATATAAAGAACTCTTAAAACTCAATAATGAGATGAACAACCCAATTTAAAAATGGACTAAAGATCTGAATAGATATTTCACCAAAGATACATGAATGGCTAGCTAGTAAGCTCATGAAAGGATGCTCAACATCATAGGTCATTAGGGAATTGCAAATTAAAACCATAACAAGATCCCATTCCATACCCACTAGACTGGCTGTAATCCAAAAGGTAGACAAAAACAAGTGTTGGTGAGAATGTGGAAAAATCACAACCCCCATTCATTGCTGGTGACAGTGTAAAATGGTGCTTCCATGTTGGAAAATCATCTAAAAAGTTTTCTAAAAAGTAAAATATAGATTTACCATATAAGCCAGCAATTCCTAGCTAGCCAAGAGAAATGACAAGGCAAGTCCCCACAGAGACTTGTAAATAAATGTTCATAATAGCATTATTTGGCATTATTCATAATAGCCAAAGAATGGCAACAATCCAATGTCCATCAACTGGTGGATGAATAGATACAAGGTATATATATACACACAATGAAATGTTACTCAATGACAAAAAAATAGCTAACTACTGGTACATCCTACAATATAAAACTCAAAAAGATTATACTAAGAAAAAGAAGCAGGCACAAGAAACTGCATACTGTATGATTCCATTTATATGAAATAAGTAAATCTATAGAGAAAGTATGTTAGGGATTGCCCGGGATGAGGAGTGGGAGTGACTGCAAGTGTGAGTGAGGGATCGCTGCTGGAAATGTACTATATCCGGATTGTGGTGATGCTTGACCAGCTGTATACATTTACTAAAAATCAGGGAATCACACACTTATGTGTGAATTTTATGGTATGTAAATTGTTCCTCAATGAAGCTGCTAAAAAGCAAAGCAAAGCTAAAATTTTGAGATGTTTGAACTTCTAAAAAGGTCATATTTACCAGGGGCTAGAGGAGAGAGGAATGGGGAATGACTGCTTAATGGGTGTGGGGTTTCCTTTTGGGATGATGAATGTGTTCTGGAACTAGATAGTGGTGAGGATTGCATAACGTTGTGAAAGTGCTAAATGTTACTGAATTCTACACTTTAAAACAGTTAAATTGGAAATTGTTTTAGTGTTTTACAACAACAATACAAAGGATTATATCAGTTGATATAAATAAATGAAACATCAATAGAGTTGACTATGTATCTTTTTCTAGATGATTTTTTAAAATTTTATTTTGAGGTTTATAGGCACATAAGAAATTGCAAAGATAGTAAAGAGGAGATCCCATGTACGCATCACCCAGTTTCTCTTAATGGTAGCCTCTTACCACATAGTACCAATAGTACATCATCCAAACCAGGAACGTGACATGGGTATAAAACAATTAACTAGATTACAGACCTTACTCAGGTTTTTTTGTGAAATATTTTTTATTAAGGTATCATTGATATACACTTTTATGAAGGTTTCACAAGAAAAACAATGTGGTTGCTACATTCACCTGTATTATTGAGTCTTCCCCACACGCCACTGCAGTCACTGCCCATCAGTGTAGTAAGATGCCACAGTCACTACTTGTCTTCTTTGTGCTATACTGTCTTCCCCATGATCCCCCCCACACACACCATGTGAACCATGTGAAATACTTTGATTTAAATTGTTTTGATTTAAAAAAATGTTCTTGAACCTCTTTTTTTCTTAAATCTTAAAAGATTTTTTTCTTTCTTTTTTAAAAATCTTCCACAGGCTAGGACTGAATTAAGGGATTGGTAGTGGAAGTGAAGGGAAGAAGATGGTTTGGAGAGGGGAAAAATGGATTAAAAAATGGATTTGGACATTGTAAGGGAATGGGAAATCAAGGATAGCACATGGGTTTCTGGCTTGAGCAGTTGGGTAGAGGGACATTTATTGAAACAGAGAAGTCATAAAAAGGGATTGTTCTGAAGGGAAAATCATGAGTTCAGTCTCAGGCTTGTCTCTTGAGACATCTAAGTCAAAGTCAAATAGGCTGTTGGATAGGGAGTCGAGAGGACAGAAGAGAGGTCTGAGCCAAAGTCACACAAATGGAGAGCAAGCAACACACATCCACTGTATTTAAGTTCCTCTCAATTCTGTTTCTGTATCCATAAATGTTTATTAATTCTAATCTTAGGGATGCAGAAGAAGACAAGGTTGATTCCTGAATTCATGGATCTTGCATTCAGTGTAGGCAGCTTGTGTACTACAGGCTAGGGTGGTGGCTTGTCTGGGCAGGCTAAAGGAGAGAAGTCATAATGTGTACTTTGTGATGAGACCTGTGATATAACTAGTTGCATGCAGGACCCCACTCAGAGCTAAGCCTTCCTCCTGCAGGGCAAATACAGGACATACCTTATGTTACCTCTCTGCCTCTCACCTTCTATCCCAGGCCCACAGCCAGAGTTCTCTTTAGAGGTGAGCAGATGGATAGGGAGGCAGGTGGTGAGGAGTTGGGAGGAGGTGTGGTGTAAAGGGATGGGGAGCTGTGGAGGCCAACAGGACAGAGGGATGCTGGGGCCATTTGCAGTCTCAGTTTCTCATCCTTCGCAGTCCCAGGTAGCGAAGCCAGTCTGCTGCCTGCCCCCGGAGCCACTGCCTGGGCCAGACATGAAGCGCTTATGGCCAATTTTTGTCCTGTGGGTCTTCTGGACACTCATCTTTTGGCTGATGGCCTCCTGCTTGGATATGAAGCCTGCATTGGCACCCCAGGAGAAACTGATGTACTTGGTACCATGGTGTTGCAACTGTCCTTGGTCCAAATTCAGGAAATGTGGCTGCCCATCTGGGACCCTCAATGACTCCTCCTGCCACCACATGGTTAGAGAACAGAACTGGTTTGGTGCACGCTATGAGAAGGCAATGGGGTCCTTCACTGGAGCAAGAGAGTCCATGATCTCTGACACTGGCTTTGATGGTGGGTCAGTGGTCAACACTGCACCCAGTCCCATCCCCTGTCCCTCACAGGCCCAGCCCATCTCCCACTTTCCAAGCCCAAACCCCTGGCTTAGTGCCTCTCCCATCCTCACAGCCTCAACCCCTGACCTCCAGATGGAGGCCTCACCCACCCAGGTCTGCTTTCCTTCTACTGAGAGCTGATACTTGGGTCCCAGCCCCTAGTCTCCTCCCTCCTGCTGTTTTCAGGGCAAGTACTCAGCAAGTAAACTTGGCAAAGTATGGGAGGAGCTGTTCAAGGTGATTCCTAGATCCTCTGTGAGCCATTTTGATCCCTGCTGTCGGACTTGTGCTCTGGTGGGGAACTCGAAGATCCTGCAGGGCTTGGGCCTAGGCAACATCGTGAACCACCACACCACAGCCTTCAGGTGGGTGCTGAGGAGAGGGCAGGGAAGGAAGCTCAGGTCCGTGCTCAGAATTCTGTCAGTTTCTGGTCTCCTTTCCAGGAGGAGCCAGGCTCTTGTGCACGCTTTTGACACAGTGGCAAACGAAACCTTGGGATGCTTCATTCATCCCAGGAAGGCCAATGCCCAGGGTTCCTGGAGACAGTTTGTGCTGCTAATGCTGAGGCTCTCTGGGCTGGCCTGGACTTCAGATGCTCTGAGTGAGGAGGTGATGGTTTGGGAACATATTCGTAGTGCAGGGAGGAGGGGAGGTCACTGCAGGGGAAGACAGAGGGGCTCCAGGGTGACCCCCTGCTGCCTTACTGGGGGCACCTACAGGACCTTCTCAGGTCTTGGGCTGCTGAAACTCCTCCACCTCCCAATTATTTCTTAGATTTAAGAAGATGGTCTGGTTCCCTAGTGGAATGGGAGATAGCAAAGACCAGGTAAGGGGACAGGAGAGAGGAAGATTGGCTGTGGAAAGGGCCCCAGGTTGCCCCCTTTCCCTTTTCTTTAGGTCCTGGTGATCAGTTCCACCTTCTTCAGGGTGACTGGCTGGCTAACAGGGTCAGTATCCGTTTCTGGGGCCCATGGCTCTGCTCTGTGCTTTACATACCTGTGACCAGGTTAAGAAAGATTCTTGTCCATTCCTCACTTAAAACTTCTCTTTCCTATACCTTTAGCATACAGTCTAAAAATTTCTGTCTGGCTTTTAAGACCTGACACAGTATACCTCTTCCTGGCCTCCTCTCCCTCATGCTCATACCCTGGACTCCTTGGCATTCCCCCAAACACACCAGCTGACTCTTGCCTTCTCACACACTGCCCTCTGCCTGGAAAATGCCCTCCTCTTGTCTCTCTGAAGAATCTGCTCTTCCTCCAATATGATGAGGAGCAGCTAGTTGACACTGTCTTTTCTGGACTCCAGGGTCACTGTGTGTTCAGTCTGTCTTCTCTGGAGGTGAATTCTGTTCTCCTCCCAGCTCCAGGAGGCAACCTGTCACACATAATGTTGGATGAGGGGAGGTGGGACAAGGACAGGAGTCAGGCAGCTGACACATACATATATCTTCTCATTCACCAGGATGCCGGCTTTGGATTTAGATCAGAAAAGCAAGGGAAGGGATTTCATTACTGGGAGGATGTTAATAAGACCTACGGCTTCAGGGAGATACTGCCCATGCCTAGCATGGAAGCAGAATTGGAAGTCAGCAAGTGTGTGTGGGCAAGCTCACCACCCGCAGATGACAGACACCTTGCCAAGTCCGCACACACCCTAGTCCTTGGGGCCTGAAAGCAGGGGAGTCTTGGGATTGCTGCAGCAGGACTATGAGGACTTTTAGGGGTAAAGGGCAAGAGGAAATTGTATGGAGCTCAATCTGGTACTGAATAAAATCCCGGCCTGATTTTCATACCTGTGAGGACAATGTCAGGGGAGGAAAGGCCAGACTTGATTTCCAGATGTGAGGGGCAATATTTACATTAATTTGCATGTCTGGTACCCTGAGTCATGCAGTGGTATAAATTTAGACCCAACCCCATGCAAAATGCAATCCCAGACTGAGTTCTTGGAGAGATTCCTTTCCCATCAGATAAGAGAGGAGCTGCATCATTTCACCCAATGTTGCAGGGTGGCATTTTTCCTAGACCAGCTTTTCACTGATGGTACAGCATTTGAGGTTCCCAATTTCCAATTCTCTGCCTCCTCTGCCCACATAGGCATTAAACTCCTAAATTCCTGGGCAGCCACTCAGACAGTTTTTCAGTTTCTCTTTTCATTTCTGACATCTGGCACTCCCTGGTATTTTTTAACTCTGCTCTGCTTTTAAAATAGTTTTTATTAAAACAGTAAGGATATATATTCTTGTAAATTTTCCAATTAGCTCAGGAAATTAGGAATGGTAGTTGCCTCTGGGAAGGAGACTGGGTAGAAGAGATGGATTCTTTCTTTTCAACTGCTTTTGGTACTTCTCAGACTATGTACTACAAACCCATGTTATTGAATTTAAAAAATGTAATACTATGTTTTGACTAGCAGTTCTAGGTTTATGCACTAGGAAAGTTTTCAGGTTATCTTTTAATTCATTATTTTGCTAGAACTGGAGCCAAAACTAAGTCTTCATAGCTCTCCTGCAGTTCCATTAGCAGGGTGTGTATGTGATAAGCCAGCAAGTTTCCTGGGCAGCAGCTCATTGCATTGTTGCTGTGGAAAACAGTTTAAACATAAATTACCATATGAGCCTGCAATTCCACTTGTAGGCAGATACCTAAGAAAAATGAAAACATAAGTCCACACAGAAATTTGTACATGGGTGTTTATTGCAGTACTATTCACAATAGCCAGAAGGTGGAAACAGCTGAAATATCTATCAATGGACACATGAATAAACAACTTGTGGTATGTCTATACAATGGAATATTTTTCTGTCATTAAGAGGAATGAAGTATTAATATATACTACAACTTGGAAGAACTTCAAAAACATTATATTAAGTGAAAGAAGCCAGACACAACAGATCACATATTGCATGATTCCTTTTATATGATAAATCTAGAATAGGCAAATCCATAGAAACAGAAAGCAGATTAATGGTTATCCAGGGCTGGGGGTAAAAGAGAATGTTGAGTAATTATTTGATGGGTAGAAGGTGTTTTTGTGGGTGTTGAAAACTCTTGAAAGTAGGGAGAGCTGATGGCTGGCTGCACAATACTGAATACACTAAATACCACTGAACTGTACACTTAAAAGTTTCATTGAATATTTCATGAATCTCACCTCAATAAAAGCAGTTGCACAAAAATACATATAGTGTGATTACACTTAAAGCATTCAAAAACATATAAAATTAAGTAAGACACAGTTTATATTATATATAGATATGATAAAAAGAAAAAGTCAATGGAATGATAAACACAAAATAGTGTTAATGTCTGGTGGTGAAGGAGCACCTAGGGTCACATTAATGATGTGCTGTCCATTAAAGGAGGTATGTAGGTGTTTTTTCTTCTTATATTCTCTTACATGTATTTAATATTTAACAAAATTTAAGACAGATAAAGAAGGAATCCTTCATCCATGCTGTAACATCCATGAAGCTTGAGGACATTATGTTAAGTGAAATAAAAAGACAAATACCCTATGATTCCTCTTATATGAAGTATCTAGTCAAATTCATAGGAAACAAAGTATAGCAGTGGTTTCCGGGGGATAGGGGAGGGGAAATGGGGAGTTATTGTTTAATGGGTATAGAATTTCACCTTTGCAAGATGAAAAAGTTCTGGATACCTGTTTCACAATGTGAATGTACTTAACATTACTGAACTGCACACTTAAAAATGGTTAAGATAGGAGAGATTCAAGATGGCAGCATGAGAGGTGAGACAGAGAACTCGTCCCCAAACCACAGATTGTGCGAAAATATAGTTAATACAACTAACCCTAAAAAAGCAACAGGAAAGAAGGCTGAATCAGACTGCATACAGAGCTTACGAACAGAGCAGACCTCATGAAATGGTAACATACCAAAGCCTTGATCTGGCAGGATCCAAGCCCTACCTCAACCCCAGCTCACCAGCGGGAGGAAGAGAAATGGAGTGGGGAGTGGGTGGAAACCTGGGACTGCTGAACACCTAGCCCTGGAGATCTGCTTTGTGAGCATAAACCTACAGTGGTGCTCTGGAGGATGGGGAGCTGGGATAGGCGGAGTGCTTGAGAGACAGATTCTGGTCATTTGTGAAGGATGGGATCCACATCAGCCGCTCTGGGACAAGGGAAAGGCAGATAGTCTGAGAGGCTTCCTACCAGTGAGGGGGCTGCTGAAGGGGCGGGGTTTGCACAGAGCTTGCTGTGCGGGAGAAGGGATAGGGGAATAAGGTTGTCTGGGGGTGCTCATTGGTACGCAGATTGGTAACTTTGAGGAGCTTCAGGTGCTGCTCCATCCCCCTGGCAGGCTACTTGGCTCTGAGGCTCCCCCACTGTGATATGTAGCCTGCCGAGCGGCAGTCACTGCACTGGTGTCAGGCCAGTCAGAGGGAGGCCCCACCTACAACAGCTAGAGACGCAAAGCACAGAGGCTTACACCTGTGTGCTCAGCCCACTGCCTCTGATACTGGAGACACACAAGGCAGATGGGAATCAGGAAAGAGATCTTTCCTCCCCCCAGGCACCAGCTCTGCTTCTCTATGACCCCCAACCTCACTCTAGGGGCTGAGCAGCTCCAGAGACTGGAGCTTCTGGGCATTAGAGGACAGCACACAGAAATATGAAACATCAAAAGAACATCAAAAGAGATTTTGGTTCAGACCAAAATCTCACAAACCCCAGAAAAAGGGCCAAATGAAACTGAACTCACCAATCTTCCTGAAAGAGAGTTCAAAATATAAATCATAAACATGCTTATGGAGGTACAGAAAAATATTCAAGAACTCAGGAACAAATTTAAGACAAAGATTCAATCATTAAGCAATTCCATATCTGAAATGAAACATACAATGGAGGGATTTAACACCAGATTAGATGTAGTAGAAGAGGTGGGAAATGGAATAGAAATTAGAGAAGAGGAATACAAAGAAGCTGAGGTACAGAGAGAAAAAAGAATCTGTAAGAATGAAAGAATATTGAGAGAACTGTGTGACCAATCCAAATGGAACAGTATTCGCATTATAGGGGTACCAGAAGAAGAAGAAGAGAGAAAAAGGATAGAAAGTGTCATTGAGGAGGTAATTGCTGAAAACTTCCCCAATCTGGGGAAGGAGATAGTCTCTCAGGCCATGGAGGTACACGGATCTCCCAACACAAAGGACCCAAGGAAGACAACATCAAGACATAATAATTAAAATGACAAAGATCAGGGATAAAGACAGACTTTTAAAAGCAGCCAGAGAGAGAAATAAGATCACATACAAAGGAAAACCCATCAGGCTATCATCAGATTTCTCAACAGAAACCTTACAGGCCAGAAGGGAGTGGCATGATATATTTAATGCAATGAAACAGG